GTCGTACAGTTTTGACGGCGGGATGTTCATTCGATTGGCATGAATTTGGCATTTATGGCATCGCGAAACAAAATCAATACAATCCTCCTCCATAGTAGACCAGTAGTAACCCTTCTTGAAAATCTTCCGAGCTAACATCGCTCCGTTCATGTGCGCTCTGCACTCTCCTCCATTGATGGCCTCCATCAGGCACTTTGACTCTTCTTTTTCGACACACAACTTGTGCATTCCCAGATGACCTCTCTTGTACAGTTTACCTCCGTAAATGATAAATTGGATGTCCATTCTCCGTATTACCTTTTCTTCTTTGGCATTTTTCCTTGGTGGATAAACTTCATTTTCCAAGAAGTTCCAGATATCATAGTACCAAGGGTTTTAATTTTGCGCTTCATTTATTGCGGCGATAGTTTCATAGGCTGGCGTGTATCTCTGTTCAATGATGATCGGACGCATCTGGATTCCAAGTGGAATCTCTATCATAGAAGATAGAGTTGACAAGGTATCAGCAAACCTATTGTTCTCTCTTAGTAGATGCATGAAAGTTAGCTTTTCAAACCTCAGAATCAAAACGTCCAGGGTCTGATGATAAATCTTTATCTTTTCTTCCTTGACCTTCCAGTCTCCATTTGCTTAAGAAACAACTAGGTTCGACTCCCCAACAACATCCAACCTTTTTGCCCCTAAGCAAGTTTTTCTCTAAAAGAGTGTAGCGGGTCTCATAATTTAGCATTTTCTTGCTCAAATAATAGATGGCTTTCTCCACCTTATCCTCAGATTCCTGAGCAAGCATGCATCCCATTGTGGTGTCTATGACTGACAGATACAAAATCAAAGGCTTCCCTGGCTCTGGCAGCGACAACACAGGTGGATTTTGAAGGTACAGCTTAATCTGCTCAAAAGCGAATTGACATCGATCATCCCATCAGAATTTCTTTCCTTTCTTCACGAGACCAAATAGTGGTTCACAAGTCAAGGTTAATTTTGAAATAAACCGTCTTATGAATTGCACTTTACCCAGAAAGCCTCGCACCTCCTTTTCAGTACTTGGTGGTGGCATTTCTAGGATGGCCTTAATTTTGGAAGGATCTACCTCAATGCCCCTTTGTTTGATCAAGAAACCCAACATTTTCCCTGCTATTACACCAAAAGTACACTTCTGCGGATTCAACCTCGGTCCGTATTCTTTGATCCATTGAAAGAATTTCTTCAAGGCAGTGTAGTGGCCCTCTCTTTCTTTGGACTTAACAATCATGTCCTCCACATACACCTCGACCTCTTTATGGATCATATTATGCAAAATTGTGATCATAGACCTCTGATAGGTAGCCCCGGCATTCTTCAGTTCAAACAACATCACCCAATAGCAGTAGGTTCCTCACGGCATAAATGCAGTTTTCTCTCTATCCTCGGGGGCCATCAAAATCTAGTTATACCCGGAAAATCCATCCATGAAGGAGAGTAATGCATGACCCGCGGTGAAGTCTACCAACTCATCAATATGTTGCAGGGGAAAATCACCCTTCGGACTAGCCTTATTCAGACCCCTGAAGTTGACACAGACTTTCATTCTGCCATCTTTCTTCGAGACTACAATAATGTTGGCCAATCATGTTGGATATTCAGACACAAGCAAGAACCCTGCTTTAATCTATTTGGTAACTTCTTCCTTAATCTTCAAAGTCCAATCCGAACGTATTCTTCGCAACTTCCGTTTGACGAGTTGGGCCTTAGGGTCGAGAGGGATCTAATGCTGTACAATCTCAGGATCGACTCCAGGCATGTTGAAAACATCTTTGAAATCTTTTAATAAAACGACTAAGCACTAGCGCTCCTCTGAAGACAACGTGGACCCGATCTGGACCAGACGCGAATCTTTCTTAGTACCCACATTAAAAGCAATGATTTCATCATCAAGGGGTTTTGCAAACCTTTCATCCTCTCGATTAATCAAATTTTTCAAAACCAAAGGAATTCCTTCCTTATCGTTTTCATTAAAATTTTGAAAATCCTGATCAATGCAATAAACAAGCGGCACAGAGAAATAATTAGAATCTGCAGTGGCATTCTCATTCATAAGGTCAAGCTCATCCAGCTCTTCGGTTACAATCGACTCAAAAGTAAAAGAAAAAGACGATCTGGATAAAACCTTGGCATTCGGGTTATCATTCCTAGAAATATCGAAATCAGATTCTGGCTCACTACTCGACTCAAACTACTAGACAGGTAGCCCTTCTCCTGCTGCCAAGCAAGAGATGGTGCTTCAGATGCATCCAAAATGTTGCTAGAAGGGTTCACACCTGGTTGGTCCCCGATCATGGAGATGGTAAGGTTATCTCCTAAGCTCTCTGAGTCGACTGAAAGATCTAAAAGGAGACATGCCAGTGTCACCCCTATTCTGAGCTCACTGTTGTCTGAGTCATTTTCTATGCTCCATTCAACTTCAGTAGTTGGCTCAATCTTTTCCTCTGTATCACTGTCTTATAGCTGCAAGTCAAAGAAAATTTCAAAGCCAGGAACACACTGCTTCTCAGAATTCAACCAGGGCTAAGGAAAGTCACAAAATGGGAAGTCTTCACCTTCCTAAACAAAATGACCATTTGGTATTCCCTAAATCGGCCTGTGAACAAGCTCATAGCGTTTCCCAGCCTGCTTGGCTCTAGATCTGCTTGCCATCTCTTTTCTTTTCTTGACCCAATCCTCTTTGGTGAGTGTATAGCCAAGACCAATGGCATGTGGATTATGTGGCACATCGGCCAATGCTGTAATGCCTTTCCAGCCACTTCTTCCCAACTCCATTCCTGGCACATGTTAAAGCTTGTTCATGAAATAAATTGATTAGGCGCTGGCATACATATATGCCCTCATCGGCTGCCAAGATGTTCTGCACTGCCCGGGACTCGGCCAGGGTAAACCCTGAAAGGAATACGTCCTGCTCACCATGAACAATTTCCAGCACAGGTGTAGTTACCTCTGGCGGAGGATGTATGGACGAATTCCTGAACACAATGCCTACTCCTTTCCCATGAAGGTAATTCAGCATTTGGTGAAGGGTAGAGGAGACAGCTTTCACGTGGTGCAACCAAGGTCTCTCTAGCAGTAGATTGAAAGTGGCCGGTACATCCAGGACATGGAACTCAATAACCTGTTGAGTTGGGCCCACTTGAACTCTGATCTGTATCATGTCCATACCTCTCTGCTAGTATTATCACATGCCCGATCACTTGGGCTGTAGGCACGAAATCTGCTAGTTTTAAGCCAATGGCATAAGTTGTGCGCGATGAACAGACATTGATAGCCAACCCAGTATCGACCAAGACCACTGACACCCACTTTTTTCTGCACTCAACTGATATGTACAGAGGTTTGTTATATGTTGAGCCTTCCAGCAGCGGTTCCTTGTCCGAGAAGGTTAAAGTTGGTGTAGCGCCTCCTGGGAAGACAAATCCTATAAGCTGTTTAGAAGTCGTGTCAATGGACAATTTGGCCCTGCCCATCGCTGATAGTACGGCCTGTCGATGCACTCGAGAAACCATAAGTAGACCCCAGATTGAAATATCGACCTAAATTTTCTTTAACTATTTTAGCACCGCCTCTTTCTCTAATTGTTTTTCCTTCTGCTTTTCAACCTCTCTATCTTTCCTGGAGGCTTCAGCTTGGTCCAAGTACGGCGGCTTAAAATACCGCCCACTTCTCGTTATGTGGTCAATCTCTTCAGTGTACTAGGTATTGTCTAGTAGGTTTTCACCCCAATCTTCATCGATGTGAGCCAAAAGTAGATTGTCATCCTCCCACTATGCACCTCCAGCAGCCGACAAACAGCTGTCCAGTTCCGTTCTAATCATTCCCTCGTCATAAATATCCCCTGCAAGGAGTTGAGCTGTTCCAGCTTTCCGATTGTTTTCACCCCTTTCTTGTTCAAACTGCTTCAGTGCAGCTTCTTGTTCTGTATCAGCGGTACTCACAGTGCCCAATTCTCGACGCCGGTGCTCTTCGGCAGTTTCCCTTTTTTCTCGACCATTTTGGCCAGTGTAGCAATTCTTGAACTCTGTTCCTCTGGTTTTGTTTCATTTCCTTCCTCCCGGTTAGGTTCATCACTCAACTACCCTGAATTTTTCGTCGACCCATTCAAATCAAACCAGTCAATCTACACATCCCCCTGATCTTGTTCATCATAGAACTATAGATTGTCTAAGTCCTCCTCCAGCTCTGCCAAATCATCCAAACCTTGGCTTGGGCTATCCTCCCGAACCACATTAACCTCCACTGTTGTTGGCAATACCACTTCGGGCTTGGCTTGATCTACTGGCACAATGTAGTGGCACGGATCATACTTCCCCTCAGTCAAATCCTCAGAGCACTCGAGCAGCGGACTCATACTCTCCTCTAAGGCCAACCTCCCTTCTTCAGCCATTGTCACCACGACGATTTTAGACGTGTCTATCACGAACAAATATGTGCTTTCATTAATGAACAGCGTCGGCCTAGGTAGTTGGAAGGGGTGATATATACGCTGAGGTTGTAGGGGATGGCCAGTGTATGTATTAGATTTAAGTGCCGGGATGGGGGACTTGATTGTGGGTCGGGAGAGTGTTGGTGGTTACATTTGGCTTTTGAGGTGGTGCTATCACCTTATCGTCGATGAGATCTTGAATCTCATGATGCAACCTGAAGCATTGGTCGGTGTCGTGACCATGCTGCTGGTGAAAAGCATAGTATTTGGCTGGGTTGTGTTTTGGTGAAAGAGGATCGGGTAGTGGACGAGACTCTAACGGCTTAAGGTGCCCCTTTTTGATCAGCACCCTTAGGGCTTATGGTAAAAGCATATAGAGTGGGGTGAATGTCCTCTAGGATCGAGCCTGGTTATTTGAAGTTTGCGGGGTTGTACTGGCGAAAGGATTGGTAGTCTTGGCCGTAGTGGTGGCGACATTCACATCAAATGGCCATGCAATTATGCTTCCACTAGTGGTTGCATTGGAACTACGCAAAAAAGGCCTCTTGGCCTACTCCTTCTCATTGGTTATCAACCCCTGTTTCATTGTATCTTTAATCTGAACCTCTATCTCATGGAGCTCAATAAATGTGAACAACGGTAAAACGGTCATCTTCCGTAATAATTTCCTTTGCAAATTGCGGACCACCATCTTGATTTGATCCTTTTTTGGCGGCCTAATAGTCATCATCGAAGCCTTGGCCCTCCACCTTGTTACAAAGTCTAAGAAGCCTTCATTTGGCTCCTGATGGGTTGCCTCAAGATCACAGGTTGTGACTTTGATTTGCGTGTTGTATGAGTATTGTGCAATGAAGGCCTCAGCCATTTCCTCCCAGCTCTGTTTTACTGAATCCTCCAGCTTTGCATACCAGATAGCCGCTATTCCTGACAAGGTGCGGCTGAAAAGTGATAGCTTTTGAAGTCTAGTAAGGTCCATCGACCGCAGGATGTCTGAGAACAACAGCAGATGAACCGTGGGATCTCTAGAGCCATCAAACCAATCTATGTGTGGCATTTTAAACTGATCTGGAAAAGTTACCGCGGAATCGGTATATCCATCTTCAATGTCGGGGATAGAGTTCACACCTTGTGCCCGCTTGAAAAGCTTCTCCAACTTGTTGACCTTAAGTACAGTCGGGTCAACTTCGAATTCAAATGGAGGCTCTATTTGATACACTGGTGCCTTGGAGGCTTGAGGTGGGATGGGGTTTACTGGATTGCCTAGATTCTCTTGGACATTAGTAGTGATTCCAGGTGCTAAGATACCCGCAGGAGGTGCATGGGAAGCAGAAGCCACTGCTTGATGTGGTTGTTGTTGCTATAACCTGTTTATCACTTCGGCTTGATGGGCTGTAACTTCAGCTTGGCGGACAGTATCTTGCTGCATGGTTTCCACTGTTTGTTGGAGATGGCGAATCAAGTCCTCCATACTGACTGTAGGGTATTGAGTCATCTAAATAGATGAGTGATCTCTTGTTGGCCTAGATGTAGAAGATTATCCCTAACTAGATGCAGGTGAAGTAAAGGGTGACTGCTGGACTGGTGAATTATGCCTAACTCTTCTCCGTCTGGTAATCGGAGGGAGTGAAGCAAACACAGGTTGTCCCCTGACAAGATCTCCGGATCTGTAAAGTCTCCTTACACGAGTCCAGAGTGCTTGGGGGTATCAGGATTGTCCGAAGCAATTGTGATAAACTACCCAGCAAAAAGAAATAAAGCAAAAGGAAAACAAAAATCAAAACCCACACAACACCTCAACTCAGATGTGAACAACACACAAATGTAATCAAAGCTGTAGGACTACACTCAACACTGAATTCTGCCCCCAAAACTGATACCTAACTTGCAACTAATACGCACATTCTTGTAGAGTTTCACTCTAAAAGCACATACCAGTTAAATGAGAACCAAAACACCCCTATAAGGGGGTAAGGTTACCCTGTCCTAGTTTTGTCAAAAACTAGGGTTCACTATTCAAACAAAACGGCTTCACGCAATCCTGCAGTCTGGTAAGCATCATGTCCTAGTTTGGAACAGTCTTTATGGCTTTCGATATGCAACTAGGCCAAATGGTCAAAAAGGGTACCTCGGCAAGACTACCTAATATACCTCTCGCACCTAACACCGAAAAGTGAAAGGCAGATCAAATGGTACAACGGTAATCCAGATCCAAGGGTTGTGCTCCCATCATGGCAGAGTTCGTGACCGGTCAGCCTTTAGGCAAGCTTTTTAAGCTGGTCTTCAGCAAACCGTCCAAGAATAGCATATGGCAAACATAGTGACTTAAATGCACCAACTCAAATGCAATGTAAAGAAACATATAAGTGTAGATAAAATTTCACATCATGAGTTTGAGTCAAGTTCTCTAAATCCCCAGCAGAGTTGCCAAAAACTGTAGCTCGACTTTTTTGGACCCCCTTTCGGAAGCTCGAATATAAGCCCTACAGTTTGGACTCCCGCGGCTCTGAATCTAATCTCACAAGTGCAATGTGAATTTGATAAACACCAAAGAGTCCAAATCCAGCAAATGTTTTGAGAAATCGATTTTGAATCAAATTACCAAAAATGGACTACCTTGCCAGATACAGAGTCGCCACCTAAATATTTTATTTTGAAGAAATTTAGGAAACCCATGACTCGTGCCAAAGGCCACGTGTCCGTCATCACCAAGATTGTCTCAACTTGGGAACTTAGGTACGAGAGGGGAATGTCATGAATTGAGCACCCTCGCTCGCCCGATCAAAGATCAGCCTTTAGTAATCATGATATGATTTTTATCAACATTATATGCTCTTGTTCCGGTTATTAGGCTAGCATTACTATGTGATACGCATACACAAGTATAGACTAGTTTGCCCGAATTGAAACAATTCAATTTCATGTTTGTTTTTCTAAAAACGGTTTGATTTTGCCACTTAACAAAGTGGGCTTAAAGTTTGTGAATTTGTCGCTTGACAGAGTGGGCTTAAACGTACATTCATCGAATCATTCCAATTCAAGCAGCAAGTCTTCATCCATAAGCATTCAAACAGTTTAACAAGTAATCACTTAGCCTCATGGCAAGCATACTAGTCATGGAAATCACTCACACTCATGCAAGTATGCTAAAGCACTAAAAAATCACCTAGTACTCCAAGCTAAGATAAAACAAAAGAGCTAGAAAAATATGCATGATACCTAACTATACAAGATGGCTAATGCAACGCATGCAATAATGCAACTAAAATAGGCTCGGCTACTTAACTTGTTATTTGCAACAATTTCATAGCATGCGTTTTAAACACGTATTCAACAAGGTAATAAACAACAATGCAAGTTTGAATGATGAACGAAGCCTTAATGTATGCAAGATAAATAAATGGATGCAAACATGCGACATACTAATTGAAACATGATGCTCCTAATCTAACCATCAAAAGCGAATAAATAAAAAAGAGAAAGACGTGGGGTTGGAAGACATACACATTATTACAACATTGATGCCCTCACGCAAGAGGGTCCGAATGAATAAACTAACTAAGCTAAACTACTTAACTAATTATTGCAACACAAATAAAGAATTAACTACCCTAAGCTGATTAATTAAGCACAATAATTAAATAATTTAACTAGGCTAAGCTAATTAAATATTTACAACACAAACTAATTTAGTTAATCAATCCAAACTAATTAATTAAGTACAAAACAAACTAATTAGCTACAACTACAAATAAATGACTAATTGCTAATTAAACTAATTAATTAGTCCCGAGAAGCGAGGAAGGCCTATGCATGTTCGGTTTCCACTCGAAGAACGTCCACTGTCTGCCCTTGAAAGCCTTTATTGCACAACCCTTGCACTGATTTTCCACTTCCAGGTCAAATTTGCTCTGCTTCACAAACATTTTGCTCAAAATTCACTGCTGGCCGGCAGGCTAGAAGTGGTGACCAGCCGGCCACCAGTAAGGGGTTGCCGTCCAACACTAATGGCCTGCCGGCCAGAAACAGTGGCCGATTAGCCACTGATAATCCACCATTCCTTGCTGCAACAGAGAGCAAATAGGGCAAAGAAAGGGTATTCTCACAGATTGTTTGTACTGTGTATCCCTCCTTATCATCAAAACATCTCAAAGTAGTGATACACTTGGTTCAATGACCATCAATCAAGCAATTTCATCGCATGATGGCTAAGGAACCAAGATGTACAAGTTTAACAAATGCACAAACATGACCTAAAACCATCACCCTATCATACATGATCAAGGCCAATAGAGACCTAGGAAACTTGACACATTTCATCACTTTGAGAATGAAATGTCCCGATTTTCCTTATGTTCAATTAACGTCTGATTGAACACACCGAAAAACAATCAAATTCTTATCTTTGCATAATTTTAGTTTCCATTTTTGTTTACCCATTTTAACTTACCAACCATTCTTTAACTGATTAAGTCCATTGGTGAGAAGTCCTCTAAAGAGAAGGAAGTGTCAAACAAGGGGTAGTTTAAGGCAAGAGAGAGGTGTCATACCGTTGATAATGAACCCCCAAAAGAGGATTAAACCATTAAGCATGGACCTCAAACTCAAGCTTAAACAATCCTAAGGTTGAAACAACCCTCAAAGAAAACAAAGAGTCAAGAAATGAGGGAGGTTGCAGAGATTATGTTTGCTGAAATTAAGTAAGAAAAACACTAAAACATGCAATCAACTCAAACAAGTGGTGTTTAAAGGCCTAAAACACCAAGCTTGTGAGGACACTTACACTAGAAGCATGCAAACAAGACTGAAATGCAACATCCAACCAAAAATAGAGTTAAAATAATCCAAATTAGAGCCTAAACATATGCTGGAATTAAGCTACAAATGGCTAGAAAATTAAGCTAACACATAGAGCTATCTAGGCTAGCAACAAGACACGAGGAGGGGAGGCTAACCCCTCCAAATTTGGACTTCAAAACATGATTTTCACCACTGAAAATCAGTGTTCAAAAGCCCAAAAAAAAAATGGTTTGAAAGTGGGAAACAAAGGTAGAAATGCCTTACAAACAAGAAATAAAGAAAGGTGACCCACCCCCTAACCTTAAATGGCACATAACTACCAATTTTAGCCCACAAAAACAGAGTTTTTTTATAGCCCAAAACAGCCCAAAATCAGTGGGAAAAGATAGAAAAGCAAGTATACAAAACAAGGTAAAACGGCAAGTGTTATACCTCTTGAAGCAAAGATCAATTCTAGGCAACAATTCAAGCCCAAACTAACTTCAAGAGCTCCAAAAAGGCTTCAAGGAACCTCAGTCCAAAGATGATCAACTTTGATTAAGGAGGTGTAGGCAAAAGTGTAGTGTACGTAGGCTAATGTGCACAAATTTGCAAGAGAGAGAGAGAGATAATTTTTGCTCCAAAAATTTCAACCCTCAAAAATGGGGGAGGAGGCCCTCTATATATAGAAAAACATGCATTTGGCTGAGATATATCCCTCTATACAATACACGTGTATGGAGTTGCAACCAATTGTGCTAACAGCTAGAACAGTTGTCAACAAAATATCTAAAAAAAAACATTAATGGCCGACAGGCCACACCATTGGCCGGCAAGACACAAGGATGGCCGGTAGTCGACTAAAGGTGGCTGGCAGCCCACCAGAGGAGGCTTGCAGGTCCCAGGGTCTTGAGGTTTGAAGCACTAAGGTTTTGGTCCAAAACAAGGCATAGAATGGACAGGGTTTAAAGGCTCAAAGACAGGGCATTCCACCGAGCACTTCGGGCACTAAAACGAGCACATGCAATCATAATCATTGAGTACACAAGCGATGACGTTCAAGTCTTGAGGACGGTCAAAAATAGGGTGTCTACAAGGGGGTTGGAGCAATTGCAGCCACCATACCAGTACTAATTTGAGCATTAGTTTCAATAATCATGAATTCTAAATTATAAAACAAAATTATAATTAAAATTTTATACTACATAGAAAATTTAAACCAAAACCACAGAATTAAATTATGTAAAAATAAAATAAACAAGAATTGTAACTTTTATTTCCAATTAATTTGAAAATAAAATAAAATTTTATCCACACAGAAAAATATTTCTGTAACACTTCAAAAATTAAAATACTGAAAACAGAATTTTAATTAATGAAAGCTCATAAATGATTTATGAAAACCAAAATTAATTTCTGACACACTTCACAAATAAATATTCTGAATTGTTAATGACTACCAGTATATTACTACTATTTGTTTTTCTAACCAAAATATTATTTTGTAAAATCACATAAAATAATTTTTGTAAGAAGAAGAAAAAAAGAAAGGAAACAAA